TAGTAGAAAGGTTTCTTTTCTAACATTATAATCAGAAGTTGAACTCATTTTTTGAGGTTTGGGACCCGTTCCGAGGTGCTATCATTGCCCAGTTGGATTGGGATTCCGAAGCAACTATCTGTGGGCTTGCTCATGTAGACAGACATTCAATGGCGGCCATTTCAAGCCTTCATTCAACTGTTCGGTTTGTCTTGCTTTATCTTCTCAGCATTTCTGCCTTTTTTCGTACTAGCAACTCATTTTCAGATTGCTCGACACTCGGACAGGTGGTTGGACAAGTGAATTAAAGGTTTCAAATCTGCCTGGCCTCACGAGAGCGTTTTCTGTGCGAGATTCTGGTAAATGCCCTTTTTCAAAAATGCTGCTCTGATGAATTCACTACTTAAGGTCGCAAAATGGTAGTTGCTCTATCCAACGGTACCTTAGTGGTATTGGATGCTCGAACTGGCCGATTAACATCTCTTTCACATGGGAATAACACACATACCACTGCGGTTGGTCCAATTGATCATTCGACATCTCCGAAGATTATCGTTGTTTAAAATCTAAAGGTAAAATGGCTAACTGATACGGATTTTCTCGTTTGTGACGCTGATGAACCCGGAACAGTATTTGCCGCCAATCCGCGGATATCCTCTATACGTAAGCTTGCTGACACTGTAACGAGTGCATTTGTTTGTGATGACAAGCTCGTGACACTCCAAGGCAACAACGTTGTCAGGTAAGCGGTGGCACGACATAAATATCCCGTGAAGACTGCATTAACTTAGGGTCTACGGTGGAGCTGAAACGCTGCTGGAGGCAAAAATGAAATCCGATAGTCAATCAGGCAGTCCATCTTCGATCTGCTATTTACCTCTAAACAACGCTTACCTTATAGGATCAAATCAGGGATCTATTCGCTTAATGTGCTAACAATAAGCATTCCTCTGTACATAGTGCTTCCATGGTTGTTATTTTGCCACCTCTTTACATACGGTTCGGTCTGTGATAATCCCAGTACAGTGCTCTTTTCTAATAATAAACATGTGATCAAGATGAAGAAAATGTTGAGACTTTTGTTTTGGTAAAAATAATGGTAGAAAAAGAGAAAACTCGTAATGAGAACAAAAAGGAAACAGAGGAGACTTTCACTTACGACTGTCAAGACTACTCTGCTTCTGTTCAAATTCTTCGATGAAACGTCGGAAATGCGTAGAATGAGTCCTTTAATGGTCCCCTCTTTATAATTCAGGAGTTTTTTTTGGCGAAGTGCGTTTAAATGGAAAAAAATGAAACTTTGAAAACTATTTGATATTATCAGGATCGTAATCCGTATTGAATCCAACTTCCATTTTTTTAAAAACTTGGCTTCTTTTGTGATTTACAAAGTGATCGGATTTTAAACTTTTTTGGTTACATGATGAAAACCTTTGGTTGTAAGTTCCTCCGTTGGTCGTGACAGTACGATTACATATGCCGTAAAAATGTCCCAAGTGTAGAGGTTTATGCAGTGGCGAGTCCTTCTTTCATTGTCTCCGATATGATTGCAAAAGACTGTAATGGACGGGCCTCGAGCAATAGTGGGGCAAAGCGAGGTGACCTGCCAATGTCCGTAATTATTTCTATATGATTCTTAGTTCACCTGGGTAACATTGCTCTGTTTTGCTCTCCTGTTGTCCAATCTATCTCCTTATTATAGAACAATCCCTTTTGTGTGACTAATATTACAGACATTTCGTTTAGATGCATACACCACCAGCACGAATGTATTTGGAATATTCTGCAATACACGATAAGTGGTCCTATTTGGAGGACTCGCAGCCTGACTTCAGTGACTACTATAGCGAAAGACTGGTCGGAAGTCTTTGCGAAAAAGGTAAGTAGAAATTGATGTAATTAGCCTAATTTTTTAGAAAAAAAAACACCAAGAAAAGAAACTTCTAATCAGTACGTCCAGAGTGCTCAAAAAATTGGCAGTGTAATGTAGTGTGCGTACTACAGATTACAATCTGCACAAGCAAGTTAGCTCAAGCAGCATGATAGAGAGAAGATTGTGGAAGTGATGAATAACCGATCTCATGTTAATGATGAGACTGGAATCTAAGGTGACGGTATTTTGATGTATGATGGGAGACGAAAGTTCAAGAGTAATAAAAAAAAATCAGTGAGTCTTACGGCAGAAATACTTTGACAAACATTATTG